CCCAGTCACTCCCAGTATGATGTCCATACAAACCCAGTACCATCCCAGTCACTCCCAGTGTGATCCCATTATGATGTCCATACAAACCCAGTACTGTCCCAGTCACTCCCAGTACGATCCCAGTATGATGTCCATACAAACCCAGTACTGTCCCAGTCACTCCCAGTACGATCCCAGTATGATGTCAGTACAAAGCCAGTCCAGTCATAGTCACTCCCAGTACGATCCCAGTCCAGCCCAGTCCCTGACACTGCTGGGATCCCCCAGCCCTGTGTGCGTTCCCCCCGGTGGATGTGCCGAGAGGAGCCCCAAGGGCTGGCAGTGCCCAGGCAGGGTGCCCACAGCAAGGCCCAGTTTGGATGTGCAGCCCCCAGTTTGCCTCTCCTTTGGCCCGGGCTGGGTTCCCCCCGCCCGCAGCGGCTGGAGCAGCCGAGAGCCCCGCGCTGCCCATCCCGACCTGTCCCGGCTCCATCCCCGCTCCTCCCACGGGCTGCGAGGGCTGCGGGAACTGGGCAGCGAGGGTATGGCTGCTGCTGGGGGAGGAGGAGGAGGGAGGGAAGGGCAGGGATGGAGGGGGAGGAGGAGCCGGGGTTAGGGAGGGGGAGACGGGGCTATGGAAGAGGAGGAGGGGAGAAGGAGAAGGAGGTGGGGTTAGCGAGGAGGAGGAGGGGGAATGGAAGAGGAGGAAAAAAGGCGGATCAAGACTGAGCTGAGGGAACCACCGGTCGAGCTCTGCCTGAATTCGCAGCCCCTACCTGTGGGATCATCGCCCCCCCCATCACGCAGGTGAGCAGAGAGGGGGAGCTGGGCCCAGATATCCTGAGGGTTCCCTGGGTTGGGTTTTTGGGGGGATGTTTGGAGAATGAAGCAGTCCAGGGCTGAGCGGAAAAGGCCCCTCGGGGGGACATCGGGGGGTGCCGGTGGCGGCTGCCAGCAGAGGCAGCCTGGAGGAGCAGAGCCCTGTGTCCCCCAGGAGCCCAAAGTGGGGAGCCCAGAGAGGGGGGAGCACCGCCATTGGCGGGAGCCTCAAGAGCCTGGAGAGGGGCAGGGGGGACTCCTTGGAGCCGCTGCAGCCCCGAGCAGAGAATGAGGGGAGAAGGGAGCCTGGGAGCCCAAACACCCCCATATAAGGGGCAGTCCCAAGTTTCCCTCATTTGCCTCTCGACCCTCATACGGACAGAGACCCAGACCCTGCAGACCCTGACTGCAGTTCTGGCCTGGCTGAGGTGGATGCCTACCAAGTGATTGTTTGCAGCTGTGCTTGCTGTGCCCAGGCTGCACTGCTTGGGGCAGGGCCTGGCAATGAGCGGCTTGCTCTCTGCGCTTACAGCTGCTTCACGATCCCCGCTCACCACAACAGCCCATGAGTTTCCCTCCTCTCGGCCAGATGCCACTGGCTTTAACTTTGGTGATCCCCCACACAAGATCCCTCATCCTTCTCACGACTGCTGTCAAGGATGGGGATTGAAGCCCCCTCCCAATGACTGAGACCCTTAAAATTCTCTCCCAGCGGCGCTGGGCTGACTGGAGTGGGATGTCTGCCAAGTGCTGCCTGCAGGTGTGTTCGCTGGACCAAGACTGGTTTCCCATGGCAACCAGTCCTGAAACAATGGGCCCCGCTCACTGCTGGGACTGCTTTGTCCTGTTTGGAACTGGACTGTCTGGACTTGTTCCCAACTTTTTCTCCCCTGTCCTGTACCTGTTCCCTCGACTATAAAAGACGCCTGAGTTAACCAAAGACTTTGAGATTCTCCCCAACGTGACCAGACACATCTATTGGCCAGACCATGAAGATTTCATCTCTCCATTAGTAACTATTCCTCCCGCACCTTTCTCTCTCCTTTATCTCCTGCCTAATCCTTCTATCACATCTGCTGTGGACACTCAGTAAAAGGTGCATTTGTCTGGATTCATACTGACAGTCCCCCTGCTCTGTTGTCTTTTGCACTCTGAGATGGGTAAAAGGAACCATCATAACCCCCACTTGTACCAGTGGATTGGGACACCCCAACATCCCGAAATGGGGAGAGCGAAGAGGGGGGAGCTTTTGGCATTGCTGGGACTACCAGCAGCCTGGGCAGGGCGGGCACTGAGGGTAAAGGGGACCCCCAGTCCAAGCGTGACCCCAGCAGTTGGGACAGGGGGGAACCCCGAACACCAAAGGGGAGGGACCAGGGACGGGGAACTCCTGGGAGGCTTTTCCAGGGCTGAATCTTGGTGTTTGGGAGGTTTTATGGAGCCCAAGGGCCGATGGCTTGTAGAGATGGACTTGGGCAGAGGGACCTTCAAACTCAATGTGCGCATCCCTTGTTTTCCCCAAACCAGGATTTCCCATTCCCAACCCCTGGGAGGCTGTGAGGAAGAGGAAGATGCCCCGGGACACTGAGGCAGGTGAGGAGGAAGTCAGTGCCCCTTTCCACCTCTGTGCTGCTCCATCTCCCGGCTGCAGCTCAGCCCTGGGGCATCTCCTTGCCCTTGCCTGTGGCACGGAGGCAAATCCCATCCTGTCCTTCTCCTTCCCTCGCCCAGAGCAGGAGCTGAGCATGGAGAGCAGAGAGGACAAATGCCTGCAGCAGAACCTGGTGGAAGAGGCCGTTTTGAGCGGCTCCACGGCGCAGGAAGCCAACGGGGAGGAAAAGCCCCCGAGATGCCGCACGAGGAGGGGCTGCAAACGCAGCTGGCGGGGATCTGAGGGGGAAAGAGCCGGCCTGGGCTGGGAAGACAGACGGAGATGGAGCCAGAGCTCGGAGCTCCATGAGCAGCTCCATGATGGGGAGAAGCCCCACATGTGTGGGGAGTGTGGGAAGAGCTTCAGGTGGAACTCCCTCCTGATTGAGCACCAGAGGACCCACACTGGGGAGAGGCCCTACGAGTGTGGGGAGTGTGGGAAGCGCTTCAGGTGGAGCTGTGACCTGATCAAGCACCAGAGGACCCACACTGGGGAGAGGCCCTATGAGTGTGGGGAGTGTGGGAAGAGCTTCTCACAGAGCTCCCACCTCATCATGCACCACAGGACCCACACTGGGGAGAGGCCCTATGAGTGTTCCAAGTGTGGGAAGAGGTTTCAGATCAGCTCCCGTCTAATCAGGCACTATCACAGTCACACCGAGGAGAGGCCCTTCCAATGCCCCGACTGCGGGAAGGGATTCAGGGACAACTCCACCCTCATCACCCACCGGCACATCCAAACCGGGGAGAGGCCCTACGAGTGTCCCCAGTGTGGGAAGAGTTTCTCCAGCAGCTCTCAGTTGACCAAACACCAACGGAGTCACCGGTAAGCGAAGCCCTGCAAGTGCCCCGAGTGCCGGAAGAACTTCGTGCGCTGCTCCAGCTTCATCCCTCACTGGAGGAGGCACTTGGGGCACAGCCCTGGTCACTCACATTCCCTGTGATCCATGTTGGGAACACACCTGGCTGCTTCTCCTTTTGGTTTCGCATTAAGGTTTTATCTTCTCCCCCTCTCTGCTGTCTAAAAGCCAAGAGGGATGGATCTGTCACCTCAAATCCCAGTGAAAACAGCTCAGTCTTAGACTCAGAGAACTCAGGCCCACATCAAAAGGGCTTTTTCCCACCTCAAAAAAACTCTACCTCTTCACAAACCTACTCGATTCCACAGCCACCAGGGTGAGATGGGGTTTGGAGGTGATTTGGAGTAGTGGGATCTCAATTAGATTGGTGGGATGGAGATTCTGTGGTTTAGGGTGTGTGGGATGTATTTGATAGCAAATAAAACTCTCATACTTATTGATTTCTTTCCCGTTCATTTTCAGTCCATTGCAGTTCTGTTTGCAGAGTGCCTCCTTCTGAGCTCATTGTGTTTGTGTCCCCCTTTCTCTCCTGCCTCTCATTGCCTGTTCTGTTTCTCTCTCAGTGTCTCCCTTAACCCAGGGACCACCAGATACCCTCCTTTGATTTAATTGCACCTGTGACCACCAGATACCCTCCTTTGATTTAATTGACCCCTGCCCTGTTTTAATTGACTCCTCTGTCACCCTGGTTTTTAAGATTTTCTAAGCCTTCTGATGTTGACATTCTTGTAGTGAACTTTCTCACACACTTTCTGTAAATAACTCATTGTTTTGCATTCCTTTATAGAGGAGGAGAAATTGATGGACTGTTGGTTTGACTAGTGTCATTGGAGAGGTGGCACTCTCACCCTCCGATGCGCTGTCACTGTTGGAAAACTATAAATGTTGGAGTCAGAAAATAAACTTCCCTTTTCCTTCACCCTGAGAACAGCGGTGTGCGCTTCTGTTCTTTCCCGTCCTCTAGTGACATCTGGTGACTGCCGGAGTGTAGGCTGAGACACAGAGTCCGGATTGCCGGTGAGGTTGTATTGTCCCCTCTCTTTGGTGCTTTGCCTGCTGTTCTGGTGGTGATGGCAACCTCTGTGGGTTTCAAGAAGGATTCCCTCGTTTTGGACCTCTGGAGGGGGGTCCTGGAGTGCAAGCAGGTTTCTGTTTCCTGGGACTGTTAGCATTCAAAAACACAATCACAGGGGACTATAAGCAGTGCTTTTTATTAAAGAGCTCTGGGAATCGGGGTATTGCCCAAATCTGATTCCGACCATACATCCGATATGATCATGTTTTTATACTCTATCGTTATACAACTTACATGCTAATTATTAAACTTATATTGTTCTATTGTATACATAAATTTTGCTCCTCTCTGATTTTCCAATATACTTTCTCATTATTCTTCTTATCGTTATATAATAATTACATTTAATTACTAAACAATCATCACATCTAACAATTATGTAATTTATCATACTGCTTATGCAGGTGCAGTTCATCTGGGAAAGCACAAAGCCTAACATTTTAGATTCTATCTTTAACTTTTTCCAGGGCTCCACTATCAGGATGATTTTGAGAGATTGTTTCTGTGGGCCTGAGACCGAGGGCTCTTTTCGGACTATGCAAAGGTGTTCTCCAGGGAGGCGTGGTCTCTCGTGGGGGTCCGCCTCATGCAGGCCCTCTTTGATGATTGCACTGTAGACGTGGGATCGCTGCTGGTGCAGTGGAAAAAGTGTGAGGATCTTTGGCGGGGGTCTGGTTCTTGTATCCCTTGGAGTTTCCAGTGGAGCCCTTCTGTCTCGGACATGGACGAGGGGGAGTTTGAGTTTCTGTGCAATGTGGATCTCTCTCCCCCACCCTGGGACGGTGTGCTGGGGGACGAGTCCAACTGGGGGATGGTGATTGTTCCCCCGGGGTGGATTTGGCTGTGCCAGGCTCCCTTGTGCCGCTCTGCAGTGATGCGGCTCCACGGGCTGCACCTCTCTGGGCACCCCTTCTCTCCTCCGTGTCAGGGACGGGGGCCCCTCGCCGGTCTCGTCCTGTCACAGACATCTTTTCATTAAAATCCTCTCGTTAGGATTTTTCCTGCTGAAGCTGAGAAGTTTCAGGTACAAAGTGTAAACAATGGTTATCTGCTGCTGTGGAATGCCACAGGTGGATCCGTGATTGGTCTCCTGTGGGTGTTTGGATTTACTGACCACTCACAGCAGAGCTGGCTCTCGCTCTCTGCCGAGACACAGATCTTTGTTATTCTTTCTTTTCGATTTTATTCTTAGCCTAGCCTTCTGAGGAACTGTCCTGGGGTGACGTTATGATGCTTGTATCCCCATTCGTCTGTTCTGTGCCTTTAAGACCGGCTCTTGAAGAGTGGAAGTTTTATTTGGGTTTCTCTTATCAGGGACACAGAGACAAGCTGTGTCCCTGTGACACAGAGATAAGGCTGTTTTTTCACTTCTGGCTTTAGCTTGCTGCTTTTGCTTGCTCTCTTTTTCTGCTCTTGCTTTTGCTCTGCTTTCGCCTCTGCTTATTAGCTAAACAGTCCACATTCCTTCCTGGACTGTTTCTCCTCTCCTGTTTCTGTGACCATCTCGAACCTGCT